AGGATAAGACGACGGTAAAAAAAAATTAAAAAATAAAACAAATAAAGCCTTTGTTTTCTTGGCTAGTCCACTCTAGTGAATTCGAATTTGTACATACACATTGAAACCCTCATAAACAAAAACCTAGATTCAAATCAGCTAGGTAGTCAGTAGTCTGAGTGCATGTTATAACAATAAGTGTGTTTCAGGCTAGCAATGTTTTGATGAGAGACACATTATAATAATAGTCCATTCTTCCAAAGCATAAGAACACCTTATCCAAAGATATGAATAAAGAAAATCATCAACTGAAATCTGGACAACAATTAACCAGACTCATGCTCAAGAAGTTAAATTATGCAGGAAAAAATCACAGTAACAAATGGCTGGTAAAGATAATCCTCTCTGGCTGGTCATACAGTTGCCACTGATGATAGTATCAATCCATTCTGTTTCTAAGCTCCTGTTTTTTTAAAGAGTTAATCATATAATTTGGCTACAGAAACACTAGCAATGGCAGATGTGCTGTCCAGCTGGCCAGGTTAAGAAAAATGAAGGCAGATGGTTTTAGATTAAAGTCTGGATGGCAACGCTGTCATTAGAGAATTGACGTTCTGTCACCAGGCCAAGATTCTTCTATTCTATTTACTTTACTGTCTAAACGATCTGCCACCTGGTGGTCCAGGGAATAATTTATCGATTTAGTCATGAGCAGCTAATAAAGATTCATTAGTTTGGATTCAATAATTTATTCAACAAATATTTATTGCATGCCTACTATGTGTGCAACATCATCGCAGGTGCTGGGGAACACAGCAACCATCAAAACAGTAAGCATATAAGGTGGTTTTAGTTTCTTCTAAGTTCTCACAAGAGAATAAATCAAGGTCATGGGAATAAAGGAGACAGAACATTAGAGGGCTCAAGGAAAGACTATCAGGAAATAATAAGAGCTGAGACGTGAAAGATGAGGCACCAGGCAGGAGGGGAGGAGGTAGGAGGCATCAGCAGCGTCGGCCCACTTGGTTGCCATGATAACGAGTCTGGATTTCATTTTAGGTGTGAAGGGAAGCCCCTAACGTTGAGTCCCCCTCCTACGATCTTAGACTTGTCCATGGCAGATCAATGGATCCTAAGTCAAGAGAAATGAGAGACAACTGGCTGGGGCTTCTTCTCACTTTGCAAAATGAGTCCTGTGCTAAACATTCTTTAAAGGTTTGACATTCCAATTTTTTTTTTCTAGGTTCTATTTAAAAGACTATTCAGGGCCGGGCACGGTGGCTCATGCCTATAATCCCAGCACTTTGGGAGGCCAAGGCAGGTGGATCATGAGGTCAAGAGATCGAGACCATCCTGGCCAACATGGTGAAACCCCATCTGTACTAAAAATACAAAAATTAGCTGGCCATGGTGGTGTGTGCCTGTAGTCGCAGCTACTCGGGAGGCTGAGGCAGGAGAATTGCTTGAACCCAGGAGGCGGAGGTTGCAGTGAGCCGAGATCACGCCACTGCACCCCAGCCTGGCCACTGGCGATGGAGCAAGACTCTGTCTCAAAAAAAAAAAAAAAAAAAAAGACTATTCAGGTGAAAGCAGAAATAATATGAATGTAATCACTTTCTGGCCTTGGCTGACCTAATTAGAAAGGAATCTGGTCTTCTGCTTCTTCCATATATCTTCCAGCACCCATGAATGCACCCTTGAGTCACATCATAAATTTTACAAATAACAATAATAACATTAATATTATAGAGGCGTTTCCAAGGGCAAATGCAATTTGTCCTTTGGTCAGGGAAGAATTCATAATTACTGTTTTTAAAAATTTCTAGCAATGCAGATTTTCAAAATAATACTGAGACAAAAGTTTATTGTTTAGAAATGCTAGCTCATCACAGTCATTTTTTCTTCTTCCTAAGCTGAGGCTAAAAGGGAAAACCAAGTCTGAATTAAACAACCTATGGAAATGTCACTACATCCTAATCTACTCAGAAGTCAGAGGCATAAACTGCTTTTTCAGTATCTTTGATTGAAGTACTAGCAGGGTTTACTGGAGGCTTTCCTTTGAGGCTCTGATTAGCAGTGATATGTACAATGACTGCTTTGCACACATCACAGACAACCCCGAGCTGGAATCACTGGGCAGTATTAACAGCGAGCTCAGGGCTGAGTCAGCAAACACTGCCCACAGTCAGCACCTTTATCTTAGGGCTGCAGGAAGGCAGAAATACTAGTCTTTTCCATACAACTACTTACAAGTAAACATAATAAAGATGAAATCTGTTAGTGTTTAGGGAGATGATGTTCTGAACACCTGCTATTTAGATTGGCTGCAGGTAACCCCATGAAAGAAATGGACTCTGATCCCTGAAGTTGCTACACTAAACATTATCTGTGTGTAATGGAGGGAATATTGACTGAAAGGGATGAGGCTTTTGTTGAGAGAGCAATTGATTTTCTAAAAAATAAACACAGTTATTGGCAGACAGCCTGTGGTGGTTAATTTGAAAGGGAATTTTAAAAATTACTTTTAAACAATAGCTTAACTTTCCTAGAGTGAATGTGACTGAATTTGGTGTGAAATGGTAGAAGACCTCAACATGGGTTTACGCAAAAACCAAGACGGATATTCTCAGTCAAGAAGTATGTTTAACCCAAAAACCTAAAATGCAATTAAATAAATAAATAAAATAAAATAAAAAGTATATTTAGCTTAATTCAGGGGCCCTCTCACTCTAGGTGAGTTTAGTCCTTCAAAATATGAAGAACCTCAGGCTGTAGGCCATAGAAAGGAGCCCCTGTTGCCACCTCTGGATGCATTGATGTGACTCAGGCATGAAAGTTGAGCTATATGAAGAAGCCACTGCAGCCAAAACCACCAATCCCAACCAGACCTACCAAATTAGAATTTGGATCTGAAATTCCTGTTGCCAAGTTCTGGGGCACAGCACTTAGGGCAAAACCTCTTGAGAGCAGGGACCGCATCTTGGTCTTCTTACTGGTTACCTCTTGTGCTTACCACTTCCTCATATATGATAGATGGCCAGAAAGGCGTGCAATGGGTGAGTAAATACATGACGTGTGATATAGACCATGAAAGGCTGAGGATACAGAGACAGAGAGAGTTGGTGCTGTTTTTCTTCCTATGCAAAGGTATTTTCTGAATTTAGAAAAAAAAATGCCACCAGAATTCCAAGCAAAGTACATTTGCTTTTTAAAAAAAAAGAGAGAGAGACAGTAATATCGCAATCTACAGGACATTTATAAAGAGTCATAGGCTAGGGTCCAAGCAGCCTCTTGGGTTCCCTTTGAGTTGGTTGAATGGGACAGGCAGCAGAGGATGAGAGGAGAGCTGCCTTCTCTCCCACTGAGACACAGTTGGAAGGCTTTCATCTGGAGAGTACTACTGCAGAGCTTAAGAAGATCTCTTTGGTTGAAATTTATAAATAGAAGTAATACTATTTTGTAATAGTCAAAGCACATTTACATACGTTGTTTTCTCCTAAGTTCATAAAATTATTTCTCACCTGTAAAATGAGATGAGAATTCCTACCTGATAGGACAGTTTCACAGAGTAAACAAAATGATGTTTATACGAGACCTGGTATTTTGCCTGACTTATGGTCAGTATGCAATAAATGGTAACCGCTGTTATGATGACTAATATTATTATTATTGCTGTCCTATATTGGGTTTCTTGGGACAGATATTTGCACATGAGGCATTTACTAGGGAGTGCTCTCAAAATCAACACTTGTGGAAGGAAGGAAGAAGGAAGCAGCATTGGGCAGAGGGAGAAGCTGAATTGAGGCAGTCATAACAAAGGCCTCAGTCAGGGCCACAGGGAGATCTGGTCCAGACTGGCTCTTCAGAATTGTCACCGGATGGGGCAGGGAGGCTGGGCCTTTCTACCCTGACATGGATAAGTTAGTATTATAGGTTGATCTACAAGGAGGCAGACCTGGGAAAAGGCAGTTTTCTTCAGCTGAGGCCATCCCTAAAGAGGGCTCCAAGCTGAGGGCCATCTTTCAGGAGAACTTCTAGAAGCTAGGGGAGTAAATAATTCATTTCTGAGAGGATTTCTGAGTGCATCACAGAGTACATCCCAATTAGTAAGTAAGAAGAGTGTTTCAGAGGGCTCATATGACTTGTCCAAGACCACAGCACAGAGCTAGCAGTGCTAGGAACAAAAGTTATGTCTTCTGACTTCGAATTCAGTCCTCTTCAAGGGCCCAGGACTCTTCCAAGTCAGCTGGCATTTCTACCCATTATTATGCCAGCAACTCCTGCACCTCATCTGATCCTACAGAAATCAAGGAACATCTGCTTAAAGTAGTTGCTGGGTCTTTTCCTGAGGATCAGGCAGTTAAATTTATTCAAGAAAAAGAAAAAAGAACGTGGAAAAGGTAGTTTTTTTCAAATAATGCTTACCCCATGAAGGTTCTCATATTTGTACCATGTTCCCTATCATTAGAAATACACACACACACACACACACACACACACACACACGCACAATCCCAAAAGGATCTATTTTTATTTATTTATTTATTTATTTATTTATTTTTGAGATGGAGTCTCTGTTGCCCAGGCTGGAATGTAGTGGCACAATCTTGGCTTGCTGCAACCTCTGCCTCCCGGGTTCAAGCGATTCTCCTGACTCAGCATCCTGAGTAGCTGGGTTTATAGGCACACATCACCACGCCTGGCTAATTCCTGTATTTTTAGAAGAGACGTGGTTTCACCACATTGGCCAGGCTGGTCTCGAACTCCTGACCTCGTGATCTATTCGCCTTGGCCTCCCAAAGTGCTGGGATTATAGGTGTGAGCCACTGTGCCTGGCCAAAGGATCTGTTTAAATGAAGATTTTGTCCATAGGCCTACCAAATTAGAATATCTATGGATGGGGAACAGCTCAGGGCTCAGGGCTAGGAGGTCCGGATGCCGAGGGCGGTCCCTGAGGGGCGGGCGGAGCCCGACTGCCGCTCTGTGCGGCCGCCGCCTCGAAGCCGCAGCCTCCAGGCTAGGCCCCGGGCAGCTGTAGCCCAGCGTGGCCCGCGTGGCGCTGGGCCTGGCTCCCGGCTCCGGTTTCCGGGCCGGCGGGTGGCCGCTCACCATGCCCGGCAAGCGCCAGCACTTCCAGGAACCCGAGATCGGCTGCTGCGGGAAATGCTTCCTGTTTGGCTTCAACATTGTCTTCTGGGTGCTGGGTTCCTGGCTATCGGCCTCTGGGCCTGGGGTGAGAAAGGCGATCTCTCCAACATCTTGGCGCTGACAGATCTGCGAGGCCTTGACCCCGTGTGGCTGTTTGTGGTAGTTGGAGGCGTCATGTCGGTGTTGGGCTTTGCTGGCTGCATCGGCGCCCCCGGGGAGAACTCCCTCCTGCTCAAGTTGGTTTGCATGGAGGATGGTTTTTCAGAGAGAGCAGGGTGTGAATACCAGACAAAGGGGAATGGATGCACAGTTCTCCGTGTTCCTCGGCCTCGTCTTCTTCCTGGAGCTGGCAACAGAGATCCTGGCCTTTGTCTTCAAGGGCTGGATTCGAGTCCAGCTCGACCTCTTCATCAACAGCAACGTCAAGGCCTATCGGGACGACATTGACCTCCAGAACCTCATTGACTTTGCTCAGGAATACTGGTCTTGCTACAGAGCCCCAGGCCCCAACGACTGGAACCTCAATATCTACTTCAACTTCACTGACTTGAACCCTAGCTGGGAGCACTGTGGGGTGCCCTTCTCCTGCTGCGTCAGGGACCCTGCGTGAGATGGAAATGGCGGGACCTTAGGGCACAGGCATGGGGACTTGCCTGGAGGTCTCCCTGCACCCTGTACATCCAGATAAATACAGCTTCAGCCAATGTCTGCTTCTAGGCAGCTTGAAGGTTGGCCGGGTGTCACTCTCAGTTACAGTTGCATGTGGAAGATGTCCTCAACACCCAGTGTGGTTACAACGTCCGGCTCAAACTGGAGCTGGAGCAGCAGGGCTTCATCCACGCCAAAGGCTGCGTGGGCCAGTTTGAGAAGTGGCTGCAGGACAACCTGATTGTCACGGCCAGGGTCTTCCTGGGCATCGCCCTCCTCCAGATCTTTGGCATCTGCCTGGCCCAGAAACTGATGAGTGACATCAAAGCAGTGAAAGCCAACTGGTGAGGCCGCCACAGGCCATGGCCATATGCCTGGCTTACCCAGCCTCGGGGGCCCCACAGGACCCTCCGACCACACTCTTGATGGGCAAGGCTGCAGGAGGCGTTCCTGCTGGGACTGAGCCCTGAGAGGTTCGCCTGAGCCACTGTGCTGTCCACCCACGGAGAAAGCTGCTGTGCTTCTGCCTGGGCCACTTGTCCTGTGTGCGCACGCACATACACAGGCAGGCACACGTGTGCACAGGGAGCCACTGTCTCGGCGGCACTTGGGGTAGGGGATCTCCAGGGAACTAGGAAGGGCGCAGCTCAGAGGGTGCGGGCCAGGTGGGGTGGGAGGCGCTGTGTGAAGGGCCCGCCCCTGTTTCCCGCCCCCCAGTGCTGGGATGCACTTTTCTGTGCGTGGCTGTATGGGATGTGTTCCTGGAGCCACTGCCTCAAGCAGCTTCAGAGTGTTCTTCTCCATGAACTGTGACTTTGAGCCTGCCAGGAACCCACCTCAGCCTCAGTGTTTCAGACTCTGAAATGGGGCCAAGAATTTTCTCTCTCTTGCTTGCCTCTCAGGAGGAAATGGAATGATGACTTTGAAAACCACTGGCTTATGCCCACCATTTTCGAGGTCCTGTCCACGTGGGGCCTCAGCAGAACTCTCTGGTTGGGGCCCCTGGCCTGGCGCCACCCTGCTGACATGTTTTCTTTGGCCTGGGTGGTTTATATCCTTGAGCCAACCTTTAAAAATTGGTAGATTTCACATAAGTGTCCAGATCCACAGCTTCTTTTGAAGAATGACCACCTGGCTACGCCAGCTCTTCAGTGGCAATACTACCTGGGACACTGCCTCCCCTGTCATCAGGGGCCGGCCCCAGGTGGTCTGTTCTACTCACCTAAGTGCCATCTGACCCTGGTACACTAGGAGTTGGCCTCTCTCACCTCTGCGGGGTTATTCCCTGCACCTCGAGGCCGCTGCGGGCCAACCTGGAATGCAACACAGGGACCTGAAGGATCGGGAGGCTGGACCCCGCTCTGAAGAGAGTGTAGCCTGGGAGAGGTGGCCTTGCTGGGGACTCCGGTGGGAGTAGAGTGCCCAGGAGAGGGTGAGAGGGGTGGGATGGGGTCAGGACAATTTTGCAAAGAAGTAGCTGGAAGCCAGGGGACTGGGGTGAGCCTGGCTCAGGGGGGTCTGGATGGTTGACTCCTAGGAATCAGGTTCAGTATCTTAGCCGTGGCTGCAGAGCTCCCTGATGTGCACTAGAGGGCGCGCCGGCCCCACACTCCCTGGGTCTGGCTTCCTCCCGCAACCTCTCGCCAGTACAGCCTGTGCCTGCCTGCTAGCCCTTCCAGATTCCCGGAGTTCGGGAACTTCTCAAGAGCCAACTGGCTCAGGCTTAGGAAGGGTGGCTGCTGCCCTCAGCTCCGCCTCATCAGCTATGCAAGGGGTATGTGTGCAGTTACCCTGCCGCCCCCTCCCTGGGCTTGTCCAGAGATCTCAACCTCGGATGCCCCTGCAGTCACGTAGATCATTATAAGTGGATGAAGCAGGCCCTGGAATTGGGAGCCTGCTTCACTTTGACTTTCCCACTGTTGCTGGAGACAAAGACATCGTGATGAGAGAAAATTCGCACAATCTAGTGGGTAACTGCCACTTGCCTTGAGAGCAATAGAGTGTGGTGGGTCCCCCTCTGACGGTGGTCACTGCCATGTTCAGGTGTAGCTAATTGCTCTGATTGCTCTGATGTGGGAATGCAGGCCTAATTCCAGAAATCTGGAGAAGCCAGAATACAGATTTCTATGTGAGGTGTCCTGATTTTTAAATTGTTGGCAGAAACTAAACTAATTCAGAAATTAAATCTGCAGGCCAAACAAGGTGCAGGGCCCAGCTTTGGCCCCATGCCCCGTAGGTCCCTCTAGGACAGTCACCACTGGGGCCCTGGCTACTCTGCCATTCAGGGATGCTGGGCACTGCTGCCTGGTGGCCAGGGTGCGGGCTATGTGCCCAGCATTGTGGTTCCTTGGTCCCGCCAGACAGTGTCCTGGGCCCCTGACAGGTGCTGGCTGTGAGTGGTTTATACATGCTATAGTAAATGAAGATCACAGTGAAAAAAAAAAAAAAAAAGAATATCTATGGATGAGGCCCTGGAGCTGCCTTTCTCACAATCACCTCAAATGAATCTTAAGCAGATTAAAGTCTGTGGACTGCTATAAATGACCCATATCACTTGTCCAAATTTATGATCACATTTTTACTTTGTGCCTATAAACTGACTTTGGAAGCAATCTGTAGAATCAAAGAATTCTCAAGTTAAAAGGCATTGTGGTTACTATTGAGTCTTCATGTTTGTGAATAAAACACTCAAGGCCAAAGAGGAAGAGTAACTTGCCCAGGTTAGAAGAAGAGATTAAGGACCAGAGCCAGGCTCTCACTCTGAGTCAAGTCCTCTTATCACTCTAACAGACTTCTTCAAAGAAGAGTTTTAAACCACTTTCCAGCAGTAGAAACAACTTTAAAAAATGTTCCAGGGCTGTTCTCAAAGACACAAGATATTGAAATTTATAATATCTCATTTGTCTAGGTCTGTTACAAATACCCTATAATATCACCTGGAACTGCTCCCATTCATGTATCTTGTGACTAGAAATGCTAGAAGCCTAGTTATTTGAATATGGTTGACCCAACAGGAAGAGAAGACTTTAAAGCCATCCATACCAAAAGAAATAGTATTTCCTTCTGTATCAGTCCATTCTCACACTGCTATAAAGATAGTACCTGAGACTGGGTAATTTATAAGGGAAAGAGGTTTAATTAATTGGCTCACAGTTCCATATGGCTGGGGAGGTCTGAGGAAACTTACAGGTGTGGCAGAAGGCACAAGGGAAGCAAAGCGTGTTTTACACGGTGGCAGGAAAGAAAGAGAGAGAGCAAAGGAGGAACTGCCAAGCACTTTTAAAACCATAGCTCTCGTGAGAACTCATTCACTATTAAAAGAACCCCATGGGGTGAACCATCACCATTTTCCAGTCACCTCCCGCCAGGCCCCTCCTTCACATCTGGGGATTACAATTCAAGATGGGATTTGGGTGGGGACACAGAGTCCAACCATATCACCTTCTAAAGTTTGCTGGAAATGAACTTTAAAATCTAACTTATTTTTATTTAGACATGAGCCTGGGTTTTCAAATCTATTCCTTAGAGAAGGAGAGGGCAAGAAGAGGGACACTTCAGGGTACAATCACATTTCAGATTTGTTTTTCCACTTGAAATCTCTCAGCTTTGATTAATAGCAACTATAATAACAACAACAATGACAATGATGATGTGGAAATCATCACCTATACTTTTCCCTTCAATGGTCCCCACACTAAGTGACTCAAATAAGCATAAAATATGAAAGATGTGATTGCTTCTGTTGGCATCTGTGGTTTTTCAGGTCTACAAATGGCCTGTTGTTAATTCCATTTATAGCAAATTGAGGAAATAAATAAATTCTTAACTTGGGTACCTATGAAAATGTTGCAGGCTGGCATGTCAGCAGTCAAAAATCTACTTTAACTGATGTTCCTGCCCATTAATTCCATTAAAATTTCTAAACTCAAAACCCAGCTTTTTATGGCTGCATCGTATTCCATGGTGTATATGTGCCACATTTCCCTTGTCCATTCTATCGTTGATGGGCATTTGGGTTGGTTCCAGGTCTTTGCTCTTGTAAACAGTGCTGCTGTGAACATACATGTATGTGTGTGTGTCTTTATAATAGAAAGATTTATAATCCTTTGGGTATATACCCAGTAATAGGATTGCTGGGTCAAATGGAATTTCCATTTCTAGGTCCTTGAGGAATCACCACACTGTCTTCCACAATGGTTGAGCTAATTTACACTCCCACCAACAGTGTAAAAGTGTTCCTATTTCTCCTCATCCTCTCCACCACTTGTTGTCACCTGATTTTTTAATGATCGCCATTCTAACTGGCAAGAGATGGTATCTCAATGTGGTTTTGATTTGCATTTCTCTAATGACCAGTGATGATGAGCATTTTTCATATGTTTCTTGGCCTCATATATGTCTTCTTTTGTAAAGCGCCTGTTCATATCCTTCTCCCACTTTTGGATGGGTATGTTTCTTTTTCTTGTATATCTTCTTTAGTTCTTTGTAGATTCTGGATATTAGCCCTTTGACAGATGGATAGACTGCAAAAAATTTTTCCCATTCTGTTGGTTGCCGGTTCACTCTAATGATTGTTTCTTTTGCTGTACAGAAGCTCTGGAGTTTAATTAGGTCTCATTTGTCTATTTTGGCTTTTGTTGCCAATGCTTTCAGTGTTTTAGTCATGAAATCCTTGCCTATGCCTATGTCCTGAGTGGTTTTGCCTAGGTTTTCTTCTAGGGTTTTTATGGTGTTAGGGAGTTCATGTCCTTTGTAGGAACATGGATGAATCTGGAAACCATCATTCTCAGCAAACTGACACAAGAACAGAAAATCAAACACCTCAAAAACCTCACTCATAGGTGGGTGTTGAACAATGAGAACACATGGACACAGGGAGGGGAGCATCGCACACTAGGTTCTGTTGGGGGGGTCCAAGGGAGGGATAGCGGGATCATAGGGAGGTTGGGGAGGGATAACATGGTGAGAAATGTCAAATGCAGGTGACGGGCGGATGGTGGCAGCAAACTACACTGCCATGTGTGTACCTATGCAATAATCCTGCATGATCTGCACATGTACCCCAGAACCTAAAGGACAATTAAAAAAAATAAAAAACCAGCTTAAAGTGAGATGCCGAACGTTTTTGATTCTGTTCAGGGAGGTGATGTGGGATAGTGGGGAACCCAGCCGAGAAGTCAGGATAAAGTCTCCATCTCTGGCTTCCACCAACACATGGCATATGTTTTAAAAACATTTCTTCTTGATGCCTCAGGCACTGTGTCTACTGCTGGGTGTTTTTCATGCCTGAGTCTTGTTTCCTGAAGCTGTTCACAACATCTAAGGCTACAGGAACTTCAGGTTGTCACATGGACCATATCCATGTTTCAAAGCTAACCTGACTTTTCATTATCCCAAGGGGGAAGAGAGAGCTAATTTCTTTTTTAACTAAAAGAAGGAAGGGTGGGGTGGGGACAGGCACAGTGGCTGTAATCCTAGCCTTTGGGAGGCTGAGGTGAACAGATCTTTTGAGTGCAGGAGTTCAAGATCAGCCTGGGCAACATGATGAAACCCCTCTCCACAAAAAGTACAAAACTTAGCCAGGCATGGTGGCACACACCTGTAGTCTTAGCTACTTGGGAGGCTGAGCAGGGAGGATCACTTGAGTCTGGGAGGCAGAGGTTGCACTGAGCCAAGATTAAGCCACTGCACTCCAGCCTGGGCAACAGAGTGAGACCTCATCTCAAGAAAAGAAAAAAAAAAAGACTACAGACACAACCTTAGCAGTGCTGTAACCACAGATATGTCCTCAGAATACAGAGATCAAAGATAAAAAACTTGGTAATCTCAGACACTCACTAATCATTTATTGACCATAAGCCCTTGTCCTCCCAGAATCAGTCGACTGGAGTAGTCTAGATATTACGACAGGATATTTTTCAGTAGCCACTTTAAGCAGAAATGGCTTCTCCTGAAACTGATAAGCAACTTCAACAAAGTCTCAGTATACAAAATCAATGTGCAAAAATCACATGCATTCCTATACACCAATAACAGACTTAAAAAGAGCCAAATCAAGAACAAACTTCCGTTCACAATTGCCACAAAGAGTATAAAATACCTAGGAATACAACTAACAAGGAACGTAAAGGACCTCTTCAAGGAGAACTACAAGCCACTGCTCAACGAAATAAGAGAGGACACAAACAGATGGAGAAACATTCCATGTTCATGGTTAGAAATAATCAATATCGTGAAAAT